AAACAAAAATATATGATATTAATCAGAATAGTTTGTTTCCTCCCATCATTAACTTTTCAGGTGTAGCTCATTAAGTGACTTGGGACTTGCCATTCTTGACTTGAGACCTTCCTGTGATTTGGGAAGTAATTACTTAATTTCACACCTGCTAAACTTCCTCAGCTTTTTTAATAGTTTCACCTCATTTCAAGGCTGCAAAATCTGTTCTCATCTCTGAATCAGCAGCATTCATCTTTCTATTGTTGTTTATCCAAAGGAGGAAACGCTCTGAGTCCATCCAGGGCAATCTAAGGTTGGATGCCAGGTCTGCTGATACTTAACTTGGCAAACATTTAACTTGCCAATCCAGAAATAAATCAGAAACCTCAGCTTAGCTTTTGAGCCCCTTTGCTTTCTTTAATCGGCACCAAGGCTAAAAAGCTTGGGTAATGTTTACACTGGTTTTACTTCTGTTTAGTTTTTTGGCTTAAATCTGAGAAATATAACAGTAGGAAGAAGACATTCCTCAGCTCAGAGCTACTAGGACCTGGAAATGCCTGAACTTTGTCTCACTCAGCTTTAACCTACGGTTCTGTGCTAATGTTGCATCATAACTAGAAGTAAATATTTATATATTTAAGACCAGACAAGTTTATTAAACAATTAATTATACACAATATTTTTTCCACATTAGAATTCATAATTTTATTTCCCAGTACTGTATGATTTTTGAAAAATTTATGGATTTGATGAAAAAAGTTGTAGCTATGATTTTTAAAGGTTTTGGTTTGTTCTGTTAATTGATTCCTGCAACTTGTTTAGTAAAACTTCAATAATGTCCTTTTGGTTTTTTTTTTGTTTTTTTTCTCTCCCTCTGCTGATTGTTGTTTATGATCCAGTAAGTTTGGGAAAGGAAAGCTGCAGTCTATTGGAGGAGTGCTAAACTACATCTCTTTGACAGCTCAGGTCCATCATTGGTGCCACTTGTTTTGTGAATGAGCTGTTAAGATCGAGCGGAGAGCAGTAGATGCTTTATCATTAATGTATCAGACCTTCCTCTGTATTCATGGTCTGCTACCAACTCCCAGAGCTCAACAGTTGTGCAGGACTTCTGCTGAAGATCAGTGCAGCGTCTCATTTAGACGCTAAGCGTCTATCAGTGTTTATTTCTTTAGATGATCATCAAATAAACACTGAATCTGGAATTAGAAGGAGATGATTTCCACTTTTCCTCAGTCTGTCAGGAGAAACAGCTGTTTTTTGGAGGCTGGTCTGCTTCGATTCCGCCCACAAACATGTAAAATAGGATGGTGCTCAGTAAAATGTATACTTATTTTCTGTAACACCCTCTGTTGATGTATAATTTTTGAAAAGGGAATGATTTTGATAGAAATGTTTAATCTATGTTGTACTAATTTTAACCCTGATATTCTGAATCACAGAAAGGTAGCAACCAAATTCCACTCTAAGGATTAGATTTTATGCATTTGTTTTGCTTTACACCAAGTATTTCTTTCAGATTAAGAGTCAGTAGAAGCTAGCTTAGATAGAGGTCTTCTAAAACTTGTAAGTTTATATGTTTTCAGTTGAATTTATCTTAAAAATCACTGAATAGCTGTTTATGCCTAAATTTTTCCATCCTGGTTTTCTTGGAAATAAATGGGACAAACATAAAGTTAAAACTTATAGCTGCTTTATTTCTCATACTTGGATCATTGATTGGATAATATTTCATTCACACTCAACACATCTGAACTGAAAGTTGTCATGGAAACTGTCTGCATCCAACGAGATGAGCATTCGGCATCAAACTAAAGGTGTGTCACTCATGAGGAAATACTGTCAGAAAAGTTTTTTGTGTGGGTTTTTTAGGAATTTATCACGCATGAAACCCAATGAGAAATTATTCAGAATTCTCCTTTTAATTAGTGGAATATAAACATATCTGTTTGAAACGTAAAGCAGAGCAGATCACAAGGACAGGCAAGATTCTTGTCTTGAATGTCCAACTAGTGGCAGTGGGATATTTATATGGATGCCCTGAAAGGCAAGTGGGAAAAAAAGCTGAGACTCTCAACCTGCCAGAGTTTAGAGAAGGAGTCTGACGGCTTCAGTGGGAGGAAAAAAATAAAAATAAAATGATGAATTAAACTTAAAAAAATTATAAGCTCCTGTTTTTCAGACACACTTTTTAGGAAAGCTTAATTTGGTTTGCCTTAGAAAATAAGCTTCCCAAAACATCACCTGCTTTATGGGCCAGAGTTCAACAAAAAGAAATTTGAAAATACTTTAGATTTTTTTTCTTGCCTTTCAAGGCTTCTGTAGGAACAACACAAACACATCTCCACCCTGAACACCATCCTTTAGGTCAAACCAAATGTTTTCTACAGAGCTGCTTGAAATTCAACTCCTCTCTGCAATGAAGAGAGGGAAAATCTTCAGTAGAGAGGAATTGATTTTATGAAGACAGGAAATACAGGAGGGGCAAAAGCAGATGAATGAAGGGAAGATGAGGACAGGAAAAAGAAAGGTAGGAGGTAATGAGATCAGGAGTTAGGAGAATAATTCATGGAAGGGTGGCTAGAAGGACCACTGTGGGTGAAATGGTTTCCATATCTTCTGTTCGATCAGCAGTAAACAGACTTTAAAATACCATAAGAGTGTCTCTAGTGTTTTAAAAACCGCACTCTGTTGGAAACCATTAGGGTTGATGTATCTGATAAATAGGTCATGCTCGTGTATCGCACGCTAAGACGACCTGATGCCGGGTTCACAAACTTACAAAAGGTCCGGTTTGTCCAAAGTATGAAAATGTCCAATTAAACCTGACTGATGAACTCACAGCCTTTTTATGTGCAGCTCTGCCTGGACTTTTTATAATATTGCTAAATGATTTAATTTTAATAAAAAACATAAACACAGACTTCGAATTAAATCTTTATTTAACCAACTTTTTTAACCATAACAGAATTGTTTTAAAGAAAAATAACTTAAGAGACCTGGGTTATGTTATTAAGTACTGACAAAGAATAAACTAAAGTGACCAAAATAAATATAACAAATAAATAAATGCCCCCCCACCGCCGCCCCCGTTTCCTGCTTTAACCTGAGTTATTAATTTGAAGTTTCTGGCCCCTCAGCATTTTTATCTCAATTGTTAGAACTACGTGGGAAAATGCCCAGAACTGAATATATATATATATTTTCCCGAAATTCCCGAAGATTCCTCTGAGGAGAGCCGCGTCGGGGCCTACACAGCTCGTACTCCTGCGGGTGTGAGCGGCTGAGATGATAAAAAAAAAAAGTTGGTTGTGTTATCAGACTTCGTTTTCACTGGTTCCCCACACATTTTACAGATGACTGTGGTTTGTTGACTGTGGACTTGCCATGACCGAAATACTGCCAAACTGGCGAACTACAAAAACCCTTCTTTGAAACAATTTCCTCTGCCTCTCCTTGCTGCAACATCTTCATATGCTCTGTGTTGTGGTTTGAGAGGGCGGCGCTTTGTGACGGCGTGCCTGGGTCCGCGATTGTGATTGGTTGGAAGGAAGTAGTGACTAAAACTGCGTTTCTTTTTTATCGAACTTTTATCGACTCTCTTTTTTTCTATTGCGCCACACGTCTATCGATCGATATATATCGTTATTAAATTATCGCCCAGCCCTAAATCCAACCCCTCTAATGTTGTTTTCTTTCTTTCTTAACATGGCTTCATTCACGCCCCTCTCAAACCACCTGTCTTCTTTGTCCAAAACGTGAACAGTCTGGTCCTCAAAAGAATGTCCTTTGTCCATAAGGTGTTGCTGTATAGCCGAGTCTTGCCCAGAGGAGGTTCCTCTTCTGTGTTTGGCCATGCGTCTGTGGAGAGGTTATTTGGTTTCTCTAATGTAAAGATCAGAGCATTCCCCACTGCAGTGAACTGCATACACCACTCTATACTCAACCCTATTTATGACATTTTGAAATGAAAAAGCTTCCTGGATGGGAAGTGAAACATCTTCAAACTTGGAAACAAAGTCCAGTGGATTGTTTTCTAACTTTGTTGGAATGACTATGACCTGGATGACTGAGAATCTTCACCAGCATCTAGATTAAAGGTTAACTTCTCAGCCTTGTTGTGTGTTTGTCCTGCGTTACTGGGCAAACATTGTATTATTTGGACCTCTGTAACACGCTCGGATGTGTTAATTATACAGATATATGTGCATACTGTTGTACTTTACAGTGTAGACTCGCCTCCGCTTGCTTTCAGTCTGTGACTTTGACCGAACCAGACCAGAACTTGTCCTCCAGATCAAAGAGGATCGTCAGAGGGAATTTAATCCTACCATAAATTGTAATCGACTCTGTTTATCTATAATTTCCCAACTGGCACTTCAATTTCCTTCTTTTGGCTCTTTCATCCTCCTCCAGACGGCTATTACTGCACCTTTTCTATATCTTCACCTTCTCTTATTTCTCCTCAAATATTTGCACTGCCTTGTCTCTCTCCTCCTCTCTTGATCCTTTCCCTTGCCCCCTCCCTCTCCATTCATTCTTCCTTCTCCTCTTCCTTTAATAAATTTGTTCTCTCCTGTTCCTGGGAATCAGTCACATCTTTGTCCATTGTCCTCCCTTTATTTAAATCTTCCTTGATGATTCCCCCCCTCTCTTCCTCTTCATCCTTATATCCCTTTTCCAGCCTCCTTGGAGTCCCTCTCTGTTCCAGCATCATGGAAGAGTGTCTCTTAGGTAGTGAAGGAGAAGTAGTGCTTCTCCTCTGTTTCTGCTCATATTTCCTTTCCTCCCACTAATGTTTTTCTCTCTTCCATGTATCCATTAACCTACATCCACCCCTCCATCACTCACAACTCTGGTCCTGTACTGCGACTCCTTTTCCTTGCATAACTATCATCATCTCCTGTCTCCTTCCCTACCTCTCCGTTCTTTGCCCTCTCGTCTCCCACTTCCCAAAAACCAATAAATTGTCCTAATCCACCCCCCTCCCCCCATTCCTCCATCTCTGCCCAACCCAACAGAGCGGTGCCAGGATCAACATTTCAGAGGGTTCCTGTCCAGAGAGGATCATCACCATCACAGGTCCGACGGACTGCGTGTTCCGAGCTTTCACCATGATCACCTTCAAACTGGAGGAGGTACACACTGAACACACACACTTACACTTCAACAGCATGGAGAGGGCGACCTCTGCCCATTTTTGATCCTTTGGATTTACTGGGACCATTTGACCCAACAAATGGATTGATCCATGTACACGAACATTAAAAACCAACAAGTTAGATGGAACAGATTCATGCTTAGTCACCATTTTATGGCTTTAAGACCCTAATAAACAAACTGTGGCTCTATGGCTCGAACATCAGCATCCTTAATTCAAAATAAAACCAAACAAATTTGAGTTGCCTAAAAAAATTGGAAAAAACTTAAGATTTTGTTGTTTTCACAGTGTCTGTCAAAAAAAACAACTCATAAGGTCAGTGGGTAACCAGATTTCTTGAGAAATTGGGAAACTTTTTAAAATGTTAATTTAATTATAGAACTTTCAAAAATAATGATTATCTTTGAACTCTATTGGTGTAGTTGATTATGATTTCATGAGATTACAAAATAATTCAGAAATGTCAAAAATGTAGCAGCTTTTTTTTTTTAAATAAAAGAAATCTAAAAAAAATACAGCGTGTTTTTTTTTTTTTTTTTTTCCAGATGTATTTATGTTGAAATCCTTAAATGAAATCAACTGAGCCTGCTGTCTTTGGGGGCTCTACTCAGAAGAGACCAACGTTAAATTATTTATTTTTTTGCCCGAAGTGTCAATATGTGAAGAAGAGCAGGAGATCAGACTCTACAAATCCATCTGAAGTCACCTCTATATGGTGAAACACGGTGGGGGCAGCCTTACGGTGTGGGACAGGGAAGCACGTTAGAGTTAAAGTAAGGGACTGAGCTGGTTTTGGTATTGACAAATGGGCATCAACCTCAGACTGTAAATAGAAAATACCTTCAATAAAATAGAATTAATTTGTAGTTTTGACAGAAGTACAAAAGTCTAACGGGTATTAGTGCTTTTGAAATGAGCTGTATTATTTAAATGTATTATTTATATTTCATTTTGGACTTTGATTATATTGGGACAAATATAGGTGAGTATTTAAAGCTGTAACTAAATTGACCTTCCTGGCTTACCGTATCTGTGCAGGGATCCAGAACTCCAGAAGTGTTGAATAAACCTGGCTGGTCCTTTGGTTCTGTTACAACAATTATAATGACACCCCTGACCATAAACATTAGCAAAGGCTGGTTTGGAGGTGTTTGATCAGAACTTGCTCAATCAAAATGTCCTCCACCTTCAGATTTAGAGCAGGCCTGGTTTTAGGATGCATTTGGGAGAATTACTTCAAGAAATCTTCCGTCTGTCCTTTAGACAGGTGCTTGAAAAACCAGTGAAACAACCCTGATCAGGTTGCACGGTACAGAAGTAAAGCTGACAAATTTTATTTTTTTACCTGAGTGATCCTAAATGGTAATAAGATGCACAGGAAGTGTGAGAAGGAGAGCAGCTGATCAATGTAATAAGAGGACAGTTTTATAGAGCAGTGAACAGGTGACAGCAAGCCTTTTGAAGAGAGTGAGAGACGTAGTAAAACCAGTTGATGAAGAAAGAGCAGGTTTCATGAAAGCTTGATGACAGTGAAATTGAGAGATTATAAAGACGAGAGGATCTGATCAAAGGATTAAAGCAGGGCTGAGATTTTTCTGGTTCTACTAACATTAAGGCTGGTTTTCTGTCTGCCTGCATAACCATTTATCTTTAAAATGAGGAACTTTGAATTCAGTGATTTCTGTTTGATGTCACAGGTATATGACATCTCCATTATCAACCCATCTTCCAAACCTGCAGGGGGTCATGAATACACTAACCTCATTGCTGCTTTGCATACATAATGCACTGGACCTGCTCTCTGTCAATCTCTGAATCCTCTTTATGGCAACAACAAAAGCAACAACAATAACTTTAGGGTTTGACTGAAACTGAGTAACAAAGAAACCAAAATCCACAGGAAAACCCTCAAAGACCTTCAGAAGATCTAAAAGACTGCCAGTCGAGATGTCTTTAAAAAAAAAGCTACAAACTCTTTGTCCAGAAAATAAGAAGCTAAGTTCACTTCATCGCAATGAGTGATTTGACCATGGAAATCCAGATTAGAGCTGCAGCAACAGGAAATCAATATACATATTGACTGGATCATATTGTCATGGACAGATGGGCGGATGGACGGACGGACGGCAGTAGCAGACTGCCTGTCTGTCAGTGAGGTCATCAACATGCATACCCATGTTGTCTGCCATGTCACAGAGAGGTCTGGTCAGAGAAAGATTATTGTTTATAGAGCAGTCAGCTCTCCCACTTGTCTGTCTTTGGTTTAATTCTAATGCTGATCACAGCCTGTTTTCTTCTGCATTTGCCTCCATAACTGCCATCAGCAACTGTAAATAATGCAGACGGGAAGTTTCGTTCTTTCCAGTGAATAAAAGGCATATTTACTCCAACAGAGCTGAAATGAACAGGCCTGCAGGTTGTCTTGAAGCTTTTTCCTTTTTAAAAGGGCAGACCAAAAATCTGTTCTTCCTGCTGTCTAAGAGGTCATAAATAAGGCAAAGATCTTATTTCAAAAATGACCTGCAGTCAGTCTGTTAGTTCACAACAACAACTGTAGCTTTGAGTATGTAGTTTTACAAAAGAGGAGGGTTATAATTAATTATTGGTTGCATCCTTTAATAATTAAGACCCTATAATTCAGCCCAAAGCTGCTTTTGCAATGGAAGGTGGAAAAAATCTCAACAATCCAAGTGTTGCTTGCTGCAGAACCGGTTGGGTGGAGCTGAATTAGCTTCAACAGCTATTAATTCCTTAAAATCTCCTTCTGTCTTATCACCCTTAAATGACTCCTCTTTCTAAATCTACTCACTTTGTAATCAGCAGGACTTCTGTCATTTTCTGACATTTTAATTGTCTCCAGCCTCCCTCCTCCTCCTCTTTCCTCGTTACATCCCATCTCCCACACAGCTTTCCTCCCTTCCTCTGTCCAGTCCAACCTCTTTCTTTAATTAACACAGGTAATAAATAACGGCCTAAACCACCAGCTCTTAATACGATTGGTTCAATCAATTACGTTGAGGCGGAATGTAAATAGCAGCGCTGCCTCGTCTGAGTCGCCCATCAGCAGAACGTGTGCTGAATAAAATCACAGAGCAGACATTTACTGATATCGGTGACTGTCTCTGTCCCTCTCTGTGCAGAACTGATATTATGTTAATCTGGAACATAATTCAGGAAACTGTATTATCATTCATGGTCAAGTCAAATACATTAAACTTATTCTGAAGAGACTTTTTCTTATTTCTTGCTCCTAGCCCTGCCCTATTTGGTGAATGAATTCATCTTCTTATACTTTGGATCTATTAAAGGGAGTCTCTACAAAATATAACCTTAATATATCTTCTATCTTTTATTTATAGCTTTTACTTTTACTTCTCAATTCGAAAAATATCAATCTTTCTTCACCTTATTCTCTGTGTTTTTTCAATCTATAACCTTCGTTAGGGTCCAATCTGAGCTCTGGGACTTTGCCCGGATGCCTAAATATTATATTAGCATGAAGAAATGTAGGTTAATAATACCTGGAATATATTGGTAAAAAAAAAATTTGCATTCCAAACAGCCTGTTTCAATAAATATTTCTCAAACTGATATTGCAATAACATTATATTTATGATATACTACTTTGCAGTCTGAGCATAGACCAGACCTTAAGAATGAGTGAACTAAAAAGACACATAGAAGAACCAGAAAAATTGTGAATTATTTAGTTTAGTAGCATTTAGTTATTTAGCATTCTACTTCACATTAAGGGAGTCCATACTTCATAATTTATCTGGAGTATCTTTTTATTTTCTTTTGACGTAGCTCAACTGTTATTTAGTTGCTGCATCAGGCAAAACATGGAATTGAGTCGCACAGAAATTTTGTACTTATTGATTATAATTGGCATGTATTTACTGCAGGGTTCACAGCCGAGTGGACTGGAACGGACCAGACACAGAGTACATTAAGGGTTAATAAGACACGGTTTGCTTCCATATTGACAGTTGGAGGAACTCTGATACAGGAGAGGAGAAAACCAAACAGGTTTAAATCTGTCTGCTTCCTGTTTTCCCTTCTTTTCAGGACTTGGCAGCTCTGGTAGCTAACGGCACAGTGACCAGCAAACCTCCGGTCACCCTACGGTTGGTCATCCCAGCAAGCCAGTGTGGTTCCCTCATCGGGAAAGGTGGATCAAAGATCAAGGAGATCAGAGAGGTACGGCGACTCATTTAGACACCAGGATTAACTTAGAGGTTTGTTCTTTAGATTAACTGCAATCAGATGGAGATGATTCTCCACTTTTCATGAATCTGTCCGGATGAATAGTTTCAATAATACTTTTTGGGCCTCATCAGCTTCTATTTAACTTGAAAGCATTTGGAATAACATGGTGCTTCTATATTAAAGTTTTTTTTTTCTTCTGGTGGAAACATGTAAACTGAAACCTCTCTGTGTGTGTGTAGACTACAGGCGCCCAGGTTCAGGTAGCCGGTGACCTCCTCCCCAACTCCACAGAGAGGGAGGTGACGATATCAGGAGGCCAGGATGCCATCATCCAGTGTGTTAAACTCATCTGCACCGTTATTCTGGAGGTAAGTTTTTATCGGATTCATTCAGCAGACAAGAAATCCTTTTCAGTGACTGGAACAAGGGAGAGAATAGAAACCCTACATCTCAGAATTTGAACAGGGTCACTCACTGATGCTTGTATGAACACAATTTGATTTTTTTATTTATTTTTTTTATGCAACAACTTAATTTAGAATCTAATGAGAGTCACTGTTGACCTTTAGTCATGTTGTGGCTTTTGATTTTGTTTAAAACTCAGCTGGTCTGAAACAGGAAAAGGAACAGGTTTTAAATAAGCTTTTATTTTCTTTTATAAAGTAGCCTTTCAGCTTAAAAAACGGATACATCTGGTGAGGAAGTACAGTTGCTGATACTTGTTTCATGTTATTATTCTGTGCTGCAAAAAAGGGAAGCACATGAGGTAAACTCGGCAATGGTTAACTCAGAGAAAAGTTGTTGCCCTGTTTGAAGAGGCTGTGGTGATGTTCTGGATCCTACAGAACTTCAAGCTGAGTTTGTTTTAATTGACCGTAATAACATAGCAAACAGTCTTTTTTAGTCATTTCACTCAAATTGAATCCCCGTCTGGGCTAATACTCCTGGGGCTACTTATTTCTGAAATATCCAGTAGATAGAAATGCGTTTCTCTTCTGGAGGAGCCCCATCAGGTTGCTCCCCATGTCTCAGCTGTTTGCTGCTGAGCAGGTCATATATGGTGGCTTTTTGTGGTCAAAAATAACACAATGAGGGAACAGAAGCCGGATGAGCTGACAGCTTAACAGGAGCTGAAGCTCGTTATAGCGCTGAGCTGATGTGAGGGCAGCATCAGGTTCAGGGGGTCCTTCTCAGCTGTTTTCTCCCACAGGTAGAATGATAATTAAGAGGAACAAACTGAACAATTGGTCAGACCTCATTAAGTAAAGCTGATTTAATCTGTTATCTTGGACACAAGTTAGTTTCCATTCTCCCACTATTAGAAAAAGCTTTCAGTGACGCCTCCTGATGTTTTAGCAGAAAGCAGATCTGCAGGAGACTTATTGACTACCTTTATCTTCCCCATATCTGTTAACATCACATAATAGAGTCTCATTCAGCTGCTGTCCACCTCTCCAATGATCTTCAGAGTGGAAACACTAACCTCCAGTTTGTGGTTGTATTAATCAGAGGCTGCAGTCATCAGGGGGAGCTTTACACTGGAAACTAAAAGTGGAAACAGTGAAATCAAAGTCTGTAGAAGCTCATCGGTATTCCAAGCATCCAAACCTGGCAGGGGAGAATGGAAAAGAAAACAGCTGAGCTCATCTAGATTTGATCTACCTTTAAGTGTCTGTGCTGCTTCATCCCTTTATTCAAAGCTTTACTTCAGATTTGAAATTCTTTTATCGCCTTTTCCTTCTTGATGGGATATTATCAGCCCGGTTATCTGAAAGCAGGGCTTAGTTTAGGAAAACAAAGAAACATTTTAATGTCAGTTCAAGTTGATCTATTAAAATGATGGGAAGAAATGTTTTCCATATCTGTGTTAGAGACAGATTTACACACCAGAGTCAGAAAGCAAAAGATTAAACTTGATTCTTACACAGAAATTGGTAACATTTTTGGTTTTGTTTTGTTTGTTATTATCCATTGATTGCAGCTCTGGCTAAAACCTATTCTAAAATCATTATCAGCAGAACATTAAAGCTGTTTTCTAGCTGCATTTGTTGGAGGAGAAAAGATGTTCAGAAGATCTCTAGTTTTTGTAACAATGTATGAGAAAAACATTCTTCACAAAATGTTAGGAGGGTTTGGGGAATTCGATCTCCCTGGAGTGCAGAGTATCATTAAAGAGGCCTTTGGTTACCTGACAGGAAACCACAGCTGACAACAAATACTGCAGAATAAGCCCGACAGACTGAATGTTTTCACAGGAGAGGATCTCCAGAGGACCGTTCATTCTAAGGAAAAATTCCTTTGTATGACATCAATCCTAAACACGGTTGTTTGGCATGCTTAAAATGAGAACAAAAGATTTTAAGAATCCAATGCATTACATGGATGAAAGATTAGTTAAGCAAAGCTTAAAAAAATGAGAAATCATCACACAAATAGAAATATATGTTTAACATGTACTGCAGTAAACTTTCATGTTTTCTCTCCTGATTTAAAGGAACCAACAGTTTCTGAACATCTCAAGTTTTCAGGCAATTTTTTTTTAATCTAAGGAGGACAGAAAAAAAATATTTTCTCAGTTTAATTGGTTCTGGTCCTCTGGACACCTATGAGCAGATCGACTAAAGACTTGCATGAATAAAAACACTTGATAGTTCTCAAGCTGCACTACTAACCAGGCAATGGGAGCAGTGAGAATTCATCTATGAAATTAGCAGAGCAGCAGCCGCAATACAGTTAGCAGGTTTGCCTTCACAAATATTATGCAGATACCATATGCTGATCATCAAAAACGGCAAAATTCTGGGGGGGTGAACATGTAAATATAAACACTTACCCACCTTAGTAGGATTCTTTTTAAACCTGAAGCAGATAGGAAGTACAGTTTTTGCATATTTAGCAGGTCTTAAATCAGGAGCAAACGCACATGCAAAACTGTCAGTAGTCATTGTGATGAGAAGATGGCATAGATGCAACGATAGTAAGGAGAGAGAGAATCTTTGAGTATCAACATATCTTTAGGTCAGAAATTAGAGTAATAGAAACCTATATATCCAAAAATTCTGCTTTTGTTAAATACCCTGGCATCACTTCATATTTTTTACTTTTGAATGGATAATTCTAGAACACCATTACAGTCAGGGAAGCATCCCACTGTAGGTTTTTCATGTGTTGTCCAGCAGCTCTCATCATTTTAGAGGTGGTTCTTCTCTCACCTTCATTCCCTCTGCTTTCTTGTTTTATCAGCAGATCGAGACTTTGAGCGATGCATGAAGCACCTTTCCTGTGTTTGTCTCTTCAGTTTAACACTTCTGGACTTTTTTGAGTCTGATGCTGAAGCTGTCAATAGTCACTGCTGCCACTTTCTTTTTTAGGGGAGAACTGCTTGTTCTGCTGAATAATGTTAATGAATCCTTTAAAAAAAAATCCTGCATCTGGATTATGATGCAGATCATCAGCAAAATTAAATAGATTGTTCCTTGGACTGCGGAAATTTCATTTAAATCTGCCTAACCTTTCTAGCTATGCTGTACACAGAAGGATGGACAAAAATTAACAAACTCAACTTAAAATTTCCTCCTTGGTGAAGGTAATAAATGGTACATTTGATACAAGTAAACCTATTTTTTTATTCTAGATTTAATGATTTGATTTTGTACCTGTTTGTGAGTGTGACACCTTTGCTTTAATTCCTCTGTCATGATTAATGATCACACAACATTTTGTAAAGAAAGGCTTTAAATTAATTGTGATGCTCATTTTACTTTTGTTTTCAAGTGTTTTGTGAGGAACTTAAATCTGTAAAAGATGCAAAAATTTTGTTTGCCTACCGACAACCAGCACCCTATGAACTACCGTGACTCTGAACACGTCGAACATTCAGAGCCAAACACAGAAGCAAAGCCAGTTTATGACTGGTTATAATGATGCATTGAAACAGGGATGTTTGTTAGATGTTCCCTGGTTACATCAGTCACCCCGAGAGAAAGAAAACCGAATGGAGCTGAGCAACCATCCAAGTCTTTGATTTATTTTGGAATAGAAAACATGCTGTCTGAGATGGAGGTGAAGGATACAGATAAAAGTAAAAGAGAAAGAATAGTTTGACTGTTAACCCAACGACACTGAGCTGCAGCCTCGGTTCTGATGTCTGTGACCATGAAGAGGACACAAACACCCGGCCCGTATGCAGGTCCAGTGGGATTGTTTCATTTTAACTGAAAACCTGCAGGCTGGAACACAAAGAAATGCATCTTTGAGCCAAGTGAAGGCAAACAGAAAACACAGCAGCAGTAGATTTTCTTTTTTCTTTTTTATTTCTTTTTTTTTGGTGGAGGGGGGCATGTTTCAACTATAATGAGTTATATGCAGTAAAACCTGGTGTTTTGTTGCAGAAACTGACGCTTTCTGCATCGGGTACTGAAGTGTAAAAAGCTGTGGCATAAAAAGAAAACTGAGGAATGAATATTTGTACATGTTTAATGAACTTTCTGCTCTCATTTTTTCTCATGTATTTGTCTTTTTTCCCCCCCTCTCCATCTGGTCCTTTCCCACTTCCGCTCTAGTCTCCACCAAAGGGGGCAACCATTCCGTACCGGCCCAGTCAGACTCCAGGTACTGTGCTGCTGGCTGGAAACCAGGTGAGCGACCAGAGGATGATCATAAGGTTTTTTTGTTTTTTTTTTTTGTTTGGCTACTAGTTCAAAGACTGTCTCATTCAGGAGTTATTAATGACCTGGATTGAAAATCAAAGCAGTTGCATGAAAGAATCTGCTGGGAGCAGAAAATCACTGAACTGTTTGTTCTGATTACAGGACCTCATTCATCCTCAAACACATTCTTTATGTATTTATTCCCTTAATTCTCAGGGATGCATAATCAGAGGATTTCAACAAGTTTAACGCCTTAGTAATGTGTTGCAATTTACTTACAGTGGCTGATTTATATCCTTGTCACTGGTTTGCAGTATTTTTCTAGGTATTCTCATATTAATACTGCAATAACTAACATTACGTATCTAAAACAGTTGTTTTCTTATTTCCTGTTTAATATTTACTGATAGCTGATTGTTTTGTTCATTGAAAAAAAAAAATCTAAATAGGATTTTTAACTGTCAAAATTTTTTAAATTGCAACAAAACTCTTTTCAAGACACAGCTTTTTCAAGTAATACCCACTAATCTTTAATCCTATTTAGAAAAAAAAAATCTACTTTTATCAATCCAGTTTATACCAACTCAGTATATTTATACCTTCTCTTAAAAATCTATTTCAATGAATTTTAGTTTAGACTTATGATTATAGGAAAATATTTGTCCCCTATCCCAGATTTCTTCTAATAGAGTACGAGTAAAATTCTTTTACCATTAGAGTAAAATTCTTTTACCATTAGAGTAACATTTTGCTTAGGTAACATTTTTAGCGAGCACTAATAAACATTTTGTTGAACTGAAAAGTTGTTATCTTATTTTCTAAAATAATAAAAGTCAGACTTTAGCCTGATCTAATACAACTTAGTTATAGTAGAGGGTTTTTTTCCAACAGGGAAAGGCCTATTAAGGCTGGGTTATGCTCAGAAACCAAGAATAAGAGTTTTTTTTATTTATCTTTTTATGAATTTAAGATAAATAAAGAAAGCCTACAAAAATCTGCTTCTGCTGTGCAAACAGTGCAGAGCTGTGATTCTATGATTAGAAAAATAATTAATCACATCGTTAGAGACACAAACATTATGCATAAACAACGTTAAGAAATGTCTGTTAGATACAGGCTGAGAGAAAAAAAGCTGTAGATGTTTTAGTTTGACATTAACCCTGATTGAAGACATAATGAAGGTGTTGGTTGGTAAAGCAGGTGAACGTTGTGATTTACCCTTTAAGGCTGCTATCTCTATGTGACAGTGCAAATTTAGACATTTTCCTATAAACTAGTTCCTGCAATATTCGGTCTGAAACCCCTCCTAGTGCTGCCCTCTATCAGTTGGGGGGTGGCTGCTGCAATGAATATTCCTAATTATATTTCAGGTTACTGTTCTATATCTATTAGCATGGATTATTTTAGGTCCTTAGATAATTTATTCCCTGCTCCTCAGAGTCTCTTGGGAAGCGGATGTTTTCAAACTGGGATGCTTTTACATCTGGTTTAGTTGTTATTTGATCGGCTGTAATTTGTATTTTTAACCAAAATAAAAGTATTTTAAATAGATGCTAGATGAAATGTCCCCCCCTGTGAAATTAAACCAAGGTGGACTGAAGAAAATAAGAACAAAGAAACAGGGATGTGATTGGATGATGAATTGTTGGCTGGAAAGGGGCGGGGTTTATTAAAGGAAGAAAAATGTTTTTTTATTTTCAGCTCTATTATTCTGAAACTATTATTAGACATATTCTATTTCCAAGACATATTTATAGATTTTAAACACCTACACTAAGACATGTTTGAGTTATAAAAGACATTACTCATTTAATTATGTCTGAATAAATTAACAAGATGTAAAATCCAGATTTTAGCCTAATTCCTAAATATATGTATTTCTTCATTGTATTGAGAGTTTAAGCTAAAAGACTACAGGGATACATTTTAAAGGCTGGTTTATCCCCATTTCAGCTTCATGTGGGAGTCTGGAGAAATGTCAGGGTTGTTGTAGGTTTTTATCCATTTTGGAAAGAATCAGAGAAACATTTTTTGTAATCTCATTTGTCGGTCTTTTGAAGTGCTCGTTAGATTGAACCATGGGATCAGCAGACTTTAAAAAGACATCTAGATAGATCACAGGCATCAAAGAACATTCTGCCAGCCTCACCAGCTTACTGAACAGCAGCACACAGATCACCAACAGGAGCAAAGATGGAAAGATTGATGAAGTGATGCAGCTTGGAGATGCTGATTCATGTCACTCATTTCTGCTGATTTTGAAATCAGTTTGGACTGTTTTTAACCCCCTCTGGACTTTAATTAGGGGGTAAATCATGTTGGTTGTCATGAGGCGGTGTTTGTATGGAGGACCCAAATGCAGAGACTAGTAGGCAGAGGTGAATTAAAGTCGGTTTATTGAAGTTCTCAGATCCAAGGGCAGGAATCAAAGTCCAACAGAAAACTACTAACGCACCTGAACCAAGCAGACATCAGGGGAAAACCAAAACTAGAAGCCAGGGAGAGACGAGGAACACAGACAGAAGTTAGACGAGGATCCAGCAAACAGGAACTGAAGAGGGAGGGCTTTTAAAGGGGACAGAGACAAAGAGAGAGCTAACGAGGGAATTGAAAACAGGTGACAGAAAACAGAGCAAGGGAAAGAGGACACACGAGGGCAGCAGAGGACAATAAATGGAAAACCAAGAAAAACAGGAACTAACAAACTAAGACTCTGACAGTGGTGGAGATCTTCAGTGAAGGTCATAGCCTCTGCTCAGTGACTCTCCAAGTATTCCTGGAAAAATCCAAGGTTTGATTTTCTCCTGACCTTACAATTCTTGATCGTGAGGTGGTTGTGAGAGGGTTATCGCCCCCCATTACCCCCTGTACACTACATGATGTAGGATCAGGCTGAAAGGCGGCCCGATCAAAATATTCTGGCACGACTGGAGAATCAGACCGAAAAGGGCAAAAAAATCATACAATGTAAGCAAGGCTTTAGTTGGTGTAGATGTGGAGGAGCGCCTCACCTCATCATTGTTGTAGAGTCTGGCTGCCCTGCAGAGGAAGCTCATTTAGACTTATTTATATCAAAGTTCTGTTTATTCCAGTCAGAATCCATTTCCTCTGATCCTTGGTGATGCTTGGAAGAACCTCGACCTTCACCTTTAAGCTCAGCTTCCTCCTCGCCACCACAGCCTGGAGTGGAAGTGAAAATAAAACATTGTGTAAACCTTGTTTTTAAATTCACCAGAACATAATTTTAATGTTTTAGAAAAGGGAAGTCATTTATGCTCCAGTTTTTGCATCTTTTCAGGAATTTCTGGGTTGAAACGTTGCTTCATGTGCCTTTAGCATCCCTGTTGCTTTTCCCTCTGTTTTGTCGAGAGATCCGACTTTCTCCTGGGAAGCTCTTTTAGCTCCCAGCTTTCTGTGATGAAAATTACGCTGGAGGTATGAGGAAGAGGCTGCTGCTGAAACTCTGCTTTGACTTTGTCCCTATAGGGGGTCTATGGGCCCCTCCTTGTGTCTAACTTTGGTTCCTGCTAAAAGTCTCTTTGTTGTGTATCTGTGGGGGTGCAGCTACAGGCCTGTATGCAGATCGCTGCTGCAGAGCTGATCAGCAGATCCCTGAATGTCAGTGCAGAGAACATGAATAAACATTTAACCTACTGATACATAGGTTGATCAGTCTAATGATACATAAATAAATACATTTACAGTCCTCTCATCAAGTCATCTTGTTCAGATTGGACTCACTTGATGAGGTGACTGAAGTCTGGTGTGATATTGCTTGGTTGGAAAGAAAACCTGAAGCCACACGGCCCTTTCTGGAACCGGTTTGACACCTGTGCACTAAACTATAAAAATGAAATTCATAAATTCATCTGAAAAAATATTTTATTATTATTTGTCTGCGTATTAAAGAAATAATTATAAGATTTCATCGATTTTATAATTTTTTTTGGTTTTCAGTCAACACCTTAAATGATATTTGCAGGAGAAACAGGGTGAATAAACCGGAATAGTTGTCTTAATGATTAGTCTTTTGATGATTTATCTCAATTATTCTTCTCTTTAAAAAGTAAAAAACAAACAAACCAAACATTAAATCCTGCCTCCTGAGGTCCATCAGAACTCTCTGAGCCCATGTTGGTGTTAAGCTGGTCCCACTGTGGGCATGTACACTGGTGCTCCAACTAGTTTCTACGAGGGTTGAACTTTGTGGTTCCTGAGAAGTTCCTGAAAAATAAAAATGTTCCTTCCTTCTAAGAAGCACAGTTTGGGTCAGAAGGTTAGAACCCAGACATGGTTGTTCTGATTGTCTTCAAGCTTATGAAACATCTGGAAACATCTGACTCTTCTGTTCCGGATGAAGTCACTTGTTTTTGTGTTGAAGATCTTCTGATTTCCAGTATAGACCAGTATCACAGACGTCTAGGCCACAGCAGAAAGGTTTATCATTCATGCCATATTAACAAGAACACTTAGTTTAGTTGTTTAGAAACCATCTCTGTCTAAATGCCTGAAAGATTCACGATAAACAAATGACATAAAATTATATATTAATTAGGCAGCAAAGCCTTCAGAGTCAAATCTTCTCTATATAAAGTTTTATTTAGCTGTATTTAGCTGCTTCTAAAAAAAACAACATCAAAAATGGCTGAATTGATCAAGTTTTTTCCCTGAAGGTCCATTAAAATACTTTGGTTTGTGAGATGTTTTCAAGGACGGAGATCCGTCAGTCTGTGTGCCTTCTAGCAGAACGGGTTGTCATGTGGTCAGCTGACATCCGGATGATTTTCCCAAAGAGGACGGAGCTACAGGGATCTGTCTGTTCCCGGTCACACACCACTGAACCAGAACCGGGATCTTACGGAGGCAGACGCTTTGCTGTTTGTTTTTTTTATGGATGAAAGCCGAGAGGCTCGGAGGTGCTGCTGTTAAACAGATAAATTAGCTGAGCTTCTTTTTGTTTGAGACCAAAACTCTTCTGGATCAGAAGGTCAGATTTGATGTTCAGAAAACCCCATCAGAACAATAGTTTGCATTGCATCATCTGAAGCCCGATTTTCAGCTTCATATAAAAATCCTCTGAAGCCAAAACTATTTAAAAAATCACCAGATTTAATGATCTGAGGATCAGTTTTTAAGAAAACGTTTCTGAATTTATCAGGAAATGTGCATCCATGCTTCTTTTACCTCACAATTTTGTTCAGTTTGTAGTGAAATTAAAGAATTATTTTACTGTTATTTAGTTGTGTTTTATTGATTCTGTTTCTAAAGTTATAATTTAAAAAGTTGTAGCAAAAAAGGGATTCCAGGAATATAAATGTATTTTGTAATAAAAGACCAACTGATGTTGAAATCATTTTAAATACCAATCTTTAATGTTTTTTAATTGGAAATATGAATTCTTATTTATCTGCCATTTATTTCCATTTTTCAAGATTCTTCTCATTGCTCTTCTTTAGAGCATTTAGGCAACTTAAAGTCCAGTTCTGAGGTTTTGATCAGACCAAAGGTTTTCATGACAGATTTTTTTTCCTGGCTCTACACTGTGGAGGATCTCAGAACAGATTCTCAACGTTGATTCATCATCGCTGAAAATCTAAGCTGAAGATTGTCTCTTTTGAACATCATCTTCTTTGTTTGACCTGATCTATTTTAAGGAGCTCTAACTCCACTGTTGCTTCTGTCTCTGTGTTCTGGTTGAAGGTGTTTGATGCTTCGGACTTTGGATCTCACCCCCTGTTCTCGGTGGCACAGGGAGGATTGGACCTGCAGCAGGTGGGTGGTCCAGGTCGGAATATCAGCGCTCCTCGCTGCTTCCTCCTCAGCTTAATCCTATAAAAAAGAAAATTAATATTTTATCAGTCTTCGTGGCGTCGAGGACAGCAGGTAGTTTTGACCTAAATCATAAAATGACTGCTTAAATATTCTGTATAGAAGCAGAAATGACATCATTCTGTTGTTTATTGATATTGGATCAGATATATAGAGGAGTTTGTTTTAAGTGAGTCACATCAGTCTGGATTTACCTAATCGATTCCAGATTGTATATTTTATCTATAATAGTATTTTTATTGTGAAACGTTAGCTTTAACAATTAGCTTTATTTTTTTATGTTGCAAAAAAAAACTATTTCTTTTGATCAACTACAAATTTCAACAGAAGTTAACAATCTAAGTCGGTCAGATGTTTAGGCTGAGGTGAGCTTCTCATCCGAACCCTGTTGTCCGAAAGCAGACTTCCAGTCAGATTGCTTTTGCTTCCAAACTGCGTCTCCTGCATCCTCGCAGCGTTTCACAGAGATGAACTGTAGGTTTTCTGCTGCAGCTGTTCATGTCTTCATTAAAAATGCACACATCCCTCCTCTGCATTTTAGTTTTCATCATCCACCTTTAAAAACTCTGCTATATGAGGACACTGTTTGATCTGCTCCAAAACACCATGCAGTTAAAGAAGCCATTTTAAATATAGATGATTATTTATTTAAAGTAAAAGAAGAAAGGCTCTTTATCTGATATTTAAAATAGAAGAAGCATGAGTATGATGGAGGATCTGTGTGGACAAGAAAAGTTAAACACTGTGGCCATGAGGACTTCAGCAGCTCCTGGTTCTACAGTCTCTCCAGAGGGAAACAGTTCACTATTACCGTAATTCATAAGTAAATGGTTTTTCTCCAGATCAATTTGTGTACAGCTATTATTCTTAAAAGGCACAAATGAAGAACTTTTTGTTGGTGGGGCTTTCAGTGCTTCTCATGGACTCAAAATATGTATTACCGCCTTCTAACCATCCATCTTCAGAAACCTCCATCCGCGCCACTCCTCATCCCTGAGGAAAAACCAGGCTGCAGAAGAGCAGAAGCTTGTTTTTGGTTCTTGTATTTGGAACTTCACACTTTTAGGATCCATATTTCATAACGATGGCTGAGGGGTGGAATATAGATGGACCAAGAACTTCTCCTTTCCACTCTGATCCATTTCATCCTCCTACTCACAGGCAGGACAGACGGATTCTTCCAGGTTGACAATCATCTCTGATCAAGGCTTCTATTTGCCTCTTTACCACATTTTAGGCCATGCATGTAGAGATAGCTGACAGCCCCTAAAAGTGACCCTGCAGCACCCCCTACAGGTATATCAGCAGAGAATAAACCAGCTCCCTTGTTTTGAAGCTTTAGAAAAAACCCTTAACGTATCTGCCTGGTGACATCACAAGCTTTGACTACTTGTCAGAACGTATTGGAGTTCATTTTTTGTCAGAGGGTCATCCAACAGAGAAAAAATGTGAGACATGCAGCCCCACCCAAACATGTTGGAGTTTAGACTGATGCCAAAGTTGTCCCTGACTTGAAAATTAATGAACCGAATGGTCCAGTTACTGATGAAGCTGACTTGATTTAAGGTTCCCCCGTGGATAGACAGGTACGTGACTGTCCCCTGAGAGACAAAGAGGACAGGTGGACAGGCTGACAAACGGCACAGCTGGTTTAAAAAAGACCCAAACAGAGCACAGTTTACACCATCGCACTGACAGCTCTGAATGCAGCGACCACTTTTAGCCGCACAGTGAGAGCAGAGCTGTCAGTTAAAACAACAGTAACCTGAGCCAATTGGGGCTCAGCAGGATGAAGGTGGCAGGTCGACAGTCATGGAAACATCTATAACATCTCTGAAGGGAGGACAGTTGGATTTAAAGCTGCCTCCCGGAAGAGATGCAGCAGAAAAGTGGTGGAAATAGATGGAATCATCTCAGTAACGCTCAAAATAACAGAGGAAAAGTTTCTCCCAGAGCTTCAGCAGTTCTCAAAGTCTTTGTTTTAATCGATCCTCTCTCTTCAGTTTGGCTGGAAAAACTAAGATGGGATTAAATCCTCAAGTAGAACAGAATTATAAAGGAGAAAAATCCACTAGACAAAAAACATGAGACAAGTTGGGGGTACCAAGTGGAACAAACCAAGAGAAAAGAACATTTAAATGGTTTTTCAACCAAAGAGGTTAAAGGATGGAACTGGAGCTGATTTTAAAGGTAGTTCTCTACTGGTTCCATTAAAAACAGTAAAATTTTGATGAAACGCTATCAGGTCAGCTTATTTATGGGATTGTCTCACTGTCCCTGCAGACAGTTGTAAAAACATCAGTGCAGTGATTTATAAACTTTAGTTTCAAAGAAAGGCAATGTACGCTCTGGGCAGTGTTTAAAATCAGCTGTTCCTATCAGTGCTCCAGCCTAGGTTCATAAACTCAGACCTATAAACATAGTTTATACAATGAACAGAAAGTGTAGCATTCATGACACATTCAGTGTGTTGGTTGATGTTGATCTAAACAACAGGAAGATAAATGTTGGTGAGTTTAAGTTTTATTAATCAGAGGGTCCATGCAAATACTGCAAATGAGGAAGGACATTTAAGCTACTGTAAAGGTGAAGGCATAATAAGAGCTGTCTGAATAGTTCTGCTGGTAAGGAAAGAAGTAGGAAAAGGAAGCAAAACATAGGGAGCTTCAGATCATCTAGCACTCAGGACCTATACGGATTCCCACAATCCTTTGCATGACAGGACAAATAGGCACAGCCCACTTCACTAAGCTTAGCAAAAATACATTATTTCTTCATATGTGCTCTGTGCGACCGGTGCTAACATGGAAACACCTTCATATGTTTTGCGTTTTATAATGGAGAGTGTTATCCTTTCGTTTTTGTAGTTCTTTTTTTCTGGTCGGCTGTAGTTCCATTGTAACAAGCATTACCCATTAGTATGTGCATTGCATAATGATTCCATAAGGCTAAAGGCTGTCAGGACTGTAAAGTAGTCTGAGGTTCCTAATGTACAGGGAAGCTCTGTGTTTACATCGTTAAGCTTTCCCTTCCTAATTCTTTCCTGAGAAGAGATCACCCAGAGCAAACACTTTAAATAACACTTTATAAGCTATATGAAGATGATACAGGGTTCATAGATCAAGGATCATGTCTGTGCTCCCATTCCATTTCTAGATTTGTTTTTACGTACATAACTAGGATGATCACTTCAGTACTTCTTCAGTTTTTAAATCAACCTAGAAAATTCCATCAACATGAAGCTCAGAGTTTCTGTTCCTCTAATCCAAAAATTGTCTGATTAACAGTTAAATTAAACCGTTATTTCACCTAATAATCTGATATCCGAGATAAAAAGCAACCAGAAAAGTCTGTTTCAAGCTGATTTTCTCTTAGAGAGAACTTAGTTTGGGTCTCATTACTAGGGATGGTCGATATGGACTAAAACATTTATCACGATAATTTCTAGGTTTTACCACGATAACGATAAGTGACGATAAAAAACAAAGCAAAAACACAATATCAGCCTAATGTATCAAACCAATCAAACAAGTCTGAAATATGAGAACAAATTTCACATTTATTTAAATGCTACACAGCAAATATAACTTGGCTTATAAAAGTTGCAAAGTAGTGCAACTGTAAATACAACCGGATAAATTGAGAAACAGAACTTAAAAGTATTTCACTGAAAACTAAAACTAATCAGTAATCACCTCCTAATATAAATAGATGTGTAAATTACCAGTTGCTGGAACATGCCATATATTGGAAAAATAAATAGCAGTGCAAGTTTTAACATACAGTACACTCACTTCATTAAAAATAAAATTCAAATGTTATATCAACCTGTAACAACATTTTTTGCTGTTGGGCTACAAAAATGTGCAAATGGCATGATAAATAAAGGGGAAAAAACAGAAAAATCTAAATACTAAAATAGAAATAAAAAATTTTTATTTAGCAGCAAACGCGTCGGCAAGTTTTGTTTGAGTGGCAGTCGGTTTCTTAATAGAGGTTTTTGAAGTCGAGGCTTCTGCTGCATCGCAGCGCGTTTTCTGGCTAGCATCATGTTCCGGTTTGTGTTTTATGTGGTGAAATAAATTGGTAGTGTTGCTGTCCTTTGTCGTCACAGGTTGTCTGCAAACTTTGCATATTACGACTTTCTGCTCCGTATCAGACTTTTTAAATCCAAACCAGTTCCATATAGCGGAGCTGGAGCCTCTTTTAGGAACCAGGTCTTGGGGCACGTCTCCTTCACCTTCCGCCATGCTTGTTGTTTGCGCATGGCTCTCACGTGAGTTGTACTGCAGGTGTGTCACGCGCAGTATACGTCACCGGCGAGAGTTTATCGTTTTTATCGCGAGATGACAAATTGTTACCATGAGGAATTTCTTTGACGATATATCGCACATGATAACATATCGCCCATCCCTACTCATTACTTAAGACAAAAGCAGTAAAGGTAGTTTAATGGTAAAGGTTCTTTCAGAGTGTTTGCACCAGCCTCCGCTTTCTCCACAGAAGGGCAGAAGGTATGTGCAGAAAAGGTTAAATCCGTGCAGGAAGATGGTTATGTAACACCAGAAAACACTCATGGCTGTTAATGAAGTCCGCAGAGAACCTTATAGATGTCTGACTTCATTAATTAGGCCGACAAAAGAAACAAAAGCCAGATTTCATCAACCAGGTACAGATACATCTCCATGATTCCCTCAGAGCTTTTCTTTTTAAATGTTGAATTAGCTCTGCTGTTTCTCCTGGTCTGGGTTCCATCAGCCTCCAACCTACCGTCAGTCAGTAGCTTTCAGTTTTTAGTGCCTAACTGTTATACTTATATTCATATGATCATTTTTAATTGCCTGGGAAAAGGAGCAACCCCCCAATAATTAGCCTAATAAGTGTTCCCTTTCAATGTTGTTAATTTTAACTGTTATGTTATTTTTCTGTTAGTTTTGTAAACCTCAGACATTTTTATTTAATCTCAACATGCAGTTTTTAGATATCTGCATCTCTGACGTTTATTATTATTTATTCTTAGCATATTATTTTTGTTCTTTGTATTGTTAATTATTTTGTCTTGTGTGTCCCTGTATGATTTTATTGCTTTTTTTCTTGCTTTTTCACAAACAAACCTGAACTGTTGGACCACAAATTCAATTTCACTTTTCATCTTCTTTATGAATAAAACATTATTTATTTTCCCTTAGGTATATTTAAAATAATGTAGTTGAATTAGTTCCTTTAAAGTGTTATCTCAAGTTTCCTTCAGTTAAGTAAAAATGTCAATTTTAATGAGTTTTCTGCTGCTTGAGAAGCTGCAGTGTCCTGAGTTGACATGTTTTGTCTCTTTGTCCAACTTTTCCCCCCCGCATCTTTTAAAAGCAGGAAACCTTAAACAGGATTTTTCTTTCTACCTCTTCTATTCCAGACATATGCAGTCCAAAGCCACTACGGTTTCCCACATTCAGAGGTAAAATCAGTTGGTTTTATGGTATTTTCTGACAAACAAAACCCTCTTCAGGTCAATCGACTCAATCATCTTCTGTTCTGTTTCTGTGTCAGTTATTGAAACTGCAGCAGCTGTCGATGCAGCAACAGGGCCTGGCGTCCATCAGCCAGTCAGCTACAGTCCTGCCTGGTACGTATGCAACTAAAAACATTTCCGCTTATATCTCATCTTCGTTTACTCACTGCTAGATCATTTTCATGGATTTTTTAGGATTCCAGCAGTTTATCTAAACAATTAAAAAAATTGTATCAATTATTGATATAAAACAAAGTCAATTAAAAATCACCATTAAGTTAAAAACCAGTGTCAGCTAAAAATCATTAAATGAGGAGCTTTTTAAATTGTAGTTGTCTTTCATCTGACACAGTACAATTTTGTTAAAACCTCACTGCTGGATAAAATCCTCCATGTTCTGTGTGGCTCTGTGGAAGTGAGCCTTATTCTGGATTTAACGTTGCACTTCCACAGCGCCTGCAGTCTGTCTCTGCAGTACAAGTAAATAGCCATCTTTGCTTCACTGAGTAAAAAATTGAAAATCTGGCCTATTTTTCCTATTCTTGCAAACTCCTCCTATAAAAAGGGCGTTCGTTAAACCCGTCCTAAAAAGACTAAAAACACTAAATAAAAGGCTAAAAATTGTGCCTTGTGCATTCCATAAAAACGTGGAACACATTTTCAGAAAGACCACAGAAAGGAAACTCGTTTTTATGAGCCAATTTGGAGAAAATTGTCTTACAGTAGGAGGCGCTGTTGCAAACTTCCCATTGGAGGTGATAAGTAAAAGAAAACTGTGGTTACCAATTGAAGCATCTGGTACCATGGAGCTGCTCCCATCTCAGATGTTAACCCCATGCTGGCATCGCATGACCTGCAGGTTAGCATCTGCCAGAAGCCACAAACATGGATCTTAAAATTGGATTTCAGATTTTAAGTTTCTTAAAGATTTGATGGAGTTTAAAATCCACATAGGTTTGCCAACCTATGTGGAAAACATAATTTTTTTTGGCTTTAATGTGTTTGCTCACAGCTTCTCTAACCTCCCGCGATCTTTCACAACTAGAGGTAGTTTTCATCAGATGTGGTGCTCATCTCAGTCCTTCCTGTTCCTCGCATGCTCTCTGTTGGAGAATAATTTAACTGTTGTGTAATCTTTATGTCAGAGCAGAGCTCTGAGTACTAATTTATGTCTGAGAGCTTTGATCAGAAGCCTCCAGCTGGGCTGATGGTCCGGCTGTCAAGCTGCTCTCTAACGTCTGCCGTTCACTTTGGGTTTCTGTCCACATCAGGGAGGCTCTGAGGTACTAAGCTGGAAATGCAATGAGTGATGAAGCAAGCTGATTATTCAGAGGTTCTGACAAAACTTTTTAAAGGATGAAGATGTTTGAATAAATGATGAAGGATGCAGTTCTGCAACACCTGAATAAGACAATATTTCTGCTGCAGAGAAAGATCAGACCAAAACTGACAACAACAGAGGAATGTTTGAAAAGAAAGAGGCAGATGTAGAGACGCACCAGGAAGAGAGAAAAACTATAAACAGGAAGGGAACATAAAGAGCATGAGAAAGATTGAAGAGAAAAACAAACAAAGCTGAATGACCTATTTGATTTTCTAGTCTAGTGTGAGGCTTTCATGAAATATCATCTCATGGCTGCTTCTGCTGTATGAAACTGAAAACAGGGAACTTTCATGTTGTTTGAACTCAGCAACCAAACCTGCATGTAGTGCAAGAAGGAGAAATCGGAAAAATGGTAAAAAGGGGAATAAATGGATTTTGTTGCTGACTGATGCTTTAGTATTCTAACTGATCTGGAGTCAATTTTCCCTCTCAGAAGCAACCATGGTAGCACCAAGACTGAACATGCAGCTCTGCTGCAGCATGAAGACTTGGAGCTTCATTATGTAGCTTAAGCAGCTGAAGGAACGGTTAGCTCTTTTAATAACCTCTCTGTGTTGAACGCATAGCTACCAGTTTGGATTCAGGTTGTGCTCCAGTGAAAGAAGTTTTTCCTTTTTTGTTCCAGAACCACTGCTGTTCTGGATGGTTTCGTCCTATTACAATGATCCGTCTGTCTTTCTTTTCCTAGGAGCAGTCGAAGCAAATTCTCAAACCGCATCTCAGGAGCTCCTCATTCCAAACGATGTGAGTAAAACCTAAATTTAACCAAGAAGTTACAGCCCTTTAGCTTAGGCCTGGTCCTTCATCTACTTCAGCCCACTAAAGCAGAGCATCAGTCCGGGGGGGATTTACCATTAGGCAATACTAGGCAATTGCCTAGGGCCCCAAGTTCCGGGGGGACCCATCAAACTCTTTTACATGTATGTTTAATATTAATATATTCCTTATTTGTGCACATTAATTATGTTTTTGACAAAACATCATATTGGATCAGTCCATTTGCTGCACATGTTCAGAAAGGTCCAAACAGACAGCAGCAAACCATTTGAAAACAAATTATGCGAATTGCAGTGTTGCCAACTTAGCTTTTTTGTTGCTATATTTAGCGACTTTTCTGATCCCTTTAGCACTTTGATTTCAAAAAGCACCTAGCGCCAAATCTAGCAACTTATTCTGCTGCTGGAGACTTTGGCGACAACATCTAAAAGCAGCGAACTCTGCTCTCCAGAGCGAGTAAATTGGTAACCCCGCCTCCTGCTCTCCTCTATCTTGTCTGCTGTCATGATTCATGCAGCTATTATTTCATCCAAATGCAAAATGGAGAACAGAGAAGCAGATCATGGCTGGTCTACAGTGAAAAGAAGGACTGGGTTATTTACTTTTGGAAACACGGGAAGGAGCAATCAGCTAAGTGAGCTTAGCGCTTGGAAAAAATATCTTTCATTCCTTTTGAGACCATATGAAAAGTCAGCTGAGCACAAAACAGGAAAAAAACAAGAAGAGAGGGGCAAAATATAGAAGAAATAATGGATGCGTATTCTATTAAAATTTCTATATCTATATAATGGGTCTGTTTTACGTGTTGTCTTCTCATGGCCCCATGCCTGTCTTTGCCTCAAATTTCCTAAATCTGGCCCTGGCATCATTTCTCCCCTCCTGGACTGATGCAAAACAACAATGGCATCTATTGCCTGTTAATGACCACACGCTTTCTTCAGAGTAAGGGGGGAAAACGTCCTGCTCACTGATCACAGTGACGATGATTAAACATCTAAGATTAAATCAGCTTTAAAAACGTCAAAATAAATGAATGCTTCCTGGAATCAAAAGAATTGTTATATCATCCATCCATCATCACTCCTGGTGTAGCTTTCCTGTTTAGCTTTAATAGCACACTATGAACGTCCCAGTTACCAAGGGCTGACATAGACCATCAGAGTTTATCTGCTTCTGTCCCGTCTCTATATGAACACCTTTCTGTTTAAGAGCTTAGTTTAAATTATCATCACTATCATCATCTTTGAAGCAAGGTAGGGATCACTCAAATCTACTGCAGCAAAGTAACATATTCGTTCACATATGCCAGTATTCTGAGCGGAAGTTTCCACAGCATCCCCACCCTGAAGGGATCATCTCCACCTCAGCAGGTTCTCCACCTTTAAAGGATCATTTCAGCATCACTTCCTGTGGTGAAACACATTGAAAATGCAGACCTGCTTACGTGTGTGTGGAGAGTAATTCGGAGCAAAGAGAGCTTTAAGCTGCTGTGCATAAAGTGTGTGATACGTTTGTTTGTGAGTCAGTGAGCAGGGCCAAGCAGAGCAGCTTGATGACATCCTATAGCTCCCAGTTAGCGGTTTAACAACAGCCCTCTGCCTCTTTCTCCTTCAGTGAAGATTTCCTAATTACAGGGGCAGCAGGGAATCGCCCAGAAATAGCTGTTGCCCCGTTCTCCGTCCCCCACCCCCCAATGCCAGGCTGGATTTCCCCTGCAGCCCTTACATAACAGAGACTCTCAGAGGAGAAAAGCATCCTGCAGGCCTCTGATCCCCACAAGAGTCAACAAAGCACAATGTGCTAAATCCTTAGCTTTGTTTCCTGTCCATTTCAGGATGGAGGTCATTCTGTCTCTGAAGCAGCTTTATTTGAAGTCATAGCTGAACCAATATTGAGCCCTTTTGTTTTATACTAATTAGCGATCTAACGGTAAAAATCATAACAGGAATGTACTGTCGTTCTGGACTTGGTCAATATTTTAAATACTTCAATTTAGAACACGGATAGATTGAATAAGTACAAACGTCTTTCTCTTGATCTGCACTGAGCAGAAGTTGTAGTTTTTGTTTTTATCGGACTGCATGAAGTAGGTTCTGATAATCCTATAAGGCACATATGTCAAAGTCAAGGCTGCAGGTGATAAAGACGGACACACTGCTGAGCGAGGGGCAGGTGGGATCCGCACGATACTCTGATGGAGACGGCAAGTTACTTACAGGTGCGGACCTCTGCCCTGACTGTGCCGTCTGTTCACCTCCCGGTATTCTGTGGCTGGCATGCGGATCCCACCTTCCCCTCACTCAGCGTCGTGTCCGTCTCTATCGTCTCTCTCACCCCTCCCTCCCTCCATCCAGACTCCTTTAATTTTGGCTTCAATCAGCCTCTGCTGACATCTGGAGTCTGTAGTCCTTTGGATTCTTCAGCCTGTTTTGGTATTGCTTTGCTTTTTGTTTAATAAATTCCTTTTTAAAGAACCTCTGGCTGAATTATGGATCTGCTGCCATGATTCATCTCAAAATTTGTACATTTCTTTGTACAAGACGTGATTTATTCATTCATAATTTTCAGTTGAATGGACTCGGGGAAAAATGCAGATAAGAGCCTTATAAGAGTCTTTTTTACTATTTGAAAGCAGTGATCTTAGAGCAGCACAGTAATGCATTTTCAGTTTATAATGCATGCACTTTCATTTATGTATTTATCTTGATAAGTTTGTTGATATAATTTAAGTTTTTTAATAATATTGATATTAATATTTTGTTGTTTTTTTTTTTTAACAATGTGTTCGGTCTTGGTTCCATAGGCTTTGTTCATTTTAATTTGTTTTAATAAACATTTAACCCTTAAAGCAATTTTTCTTTTTGGCCCTCTGTATATTTGACATTCACATCCCTGCAATAAGGTCACATGTGCCTTAGACCTTCTAGCAGTAACAGCAGGTGACATAAGCTTGCTCATGCTACATCCTGCCCTTGCATGGTGATCACATCTCCTCTCCTGCTGCAAACTGGACAAAATGTTTCTCTGCTTTGGAAATCCCTGGAGATCCATTTTGATTCATTGAGGCTGCTCTGAAGGTTAAACAGGAAGTAGATCATTTCATGACTATAGACTGGTACTCTGTCTCCCACACCATCCTAATAGCTGCCAGTCTTTAAAAGCATTATGTTCCAGAAACTGTTCTCTGCAGCTCCTTGCCTTGAACTGTTTTTTTTTTTCATTTTTTGTAATAGACTTATCATGTTAGAGAACAGAACTTGCTACAGACGCTTTCAAAACTGTATGTTTGTCTTTTTAAGTAATAGAAATTCAGAGACAAAAAGGGATCTGGGATCTTTACTGGTAGGTTATTTGCTTCTTGGTTGATGGAAATCAGTGGAAACATCTCATCACTGAAGGTGTGTATCTGTGTGTTAGTGTTCAAATCAGAGAAGGACAGCGTTCGTCTGTCCCTGTCCAGATTCACTCTGATCATCTGCAGCTTCTTCTGTTCTGTGAGATCTGTGAAAGAAGGACCTGCTGATTCTGCAGAGCATGTCTTCACAGGACCAGATTCCCCAAAATCCTGAAACTATACACCAAGACCCCAGCCTCTACTGTCGCCAACATCAGCATCCCAGCTGTGGTTCCCTCTGTTCAGGCCCCAAAACCTCAGGAAAAAACAACGGTTGTTAACGGTTGTTAAACCTCTCTGGATTATCAGGAAGCTTCTGTTCTTCTCCTCTAGTCATACCGGTCAGATCTTCAGACAGTATTAGTTCTGGGTGAGCAGTGTTTGGGTCCAGGATGAGAGGAGTGTAGGACACCATGTTCTTCATGTTGCTCCAGATGTTGAAGGCCAGGTTGCCCAGATGTTTGGCCTGGTCTATCAGAGCTCCTGAGGGCAGCTGTGGATCCTCCAGCAGGGGGCAGCGCTGGACTCTTTCCACTGCAGCCTTGTAGTTGTGCAAGAATGAAACGTCTTCAGCTCTCAGCTCCTCCTCTGTGGCTCTGACTGTGTCTGAAAGAGCTGCTATCTCTCTGCTCAGAGCCTCCATCTTCTCCTTCATCATCCCTCTCTTCTGCTCCTCTTCCTCCCTCAGTGCAGCCAGCCTGGCCTCCTCTTCCTCTGCTAGAAACTGATGAAGCTTCTTAAACTGCTCCTTAATCAGCCTCTCTGTGTGTCGGGCCTGGACCTTCATGTGTTTTGAATCTCTGTCAGGGATCCTCTGAAGCTCTCTGCTCTCTCTGATGTAAGACTGATTGGGGGATCATCTGTTGCAGATCTTTTCCTACAAACATGATATGAGCTTCCAGTTCTTACTCTCCACCAGTTCTTCAGACACTCTTTACAGAAGCTGTGGCTACATGACAGAAGAACTGGATCCTTAAAGACGTCCTGACAGACCGGACAGCATAGATCCTCCTCTAACCTGGAAGCCATTTAGTCTCTGAGTGAAGCTGAAAACACAGAAGGTCCAGTCAGTCATGGCTCCCCTACCTCCTCTACTAACTTCCCTCAAAGTGACTCTGAGTGGTGTTCTTGGTCCAACTCACCTTCAGTGTGTGGAGTGTGAGCAGCTTGAAGCAGCAGTGTTGGAGGTTTCCACTTTTCTCTCCTGCATACCTCTTTGTTACTGAGGTGCAGAACATCAGAAATAAAAACATTTAGAAACCTGATCCTCAGAGTACAATGTTTCCTTGCACAATTCAATGTTAGCTTCACCTTAATGTTTGTCTTCTCTGTTTTATGCTTCTCACAGCTGATCGGATCAATCATCGGACGCCAGGGCACCAAAATAAATGAGATCCGGCAGGTGTCAGGAGCTCAGATCAAGATCGGCAGTCAGATCGACAGCAGCAGCGACCGTCACGTGACCATCACCGGGACGCCGATTGCCATCAACCTGGCTCAGTATTTAATCAGTTCATGGTAAGCTGCAGCATGGCGCTTTAAAAGCACTGAGAGAGTTTCCTGCAGTCATATACTTTAGGTTATGTTTGAAGAATTTAAAATAATGTGTGGACAGGTCAACAATAAGCACAGGAAATAGAAGGCCTTTCAAAAAAAAATAAGCATAATAAAGAATGAGGGTTTTATTTACAGAAATATATCTATTTTTTTCTTCCTTCCTTTATGGTCTCTTTAACTTGATGGTTTTTCTACCAACCGATTTTTCTAGTGTATATAGGGTCTATTGGACCAAAACATTCTGACCAAGTCATGCAGGTGCTGCATTTCTTAGTTCCTCAGACCAAATTTTAGGGTGTTGACAGAAATGTTTTTGTTCTGAACTAATTAATATTGAATAAGAATTGACTGGACATCAGAGGTGTCAAAAGTACGTATATTTACTTAAGTAAAAGAAGAAATAGTGTAAAAAAGTAAAAAAGCATGGGTTCTGTATTGTATTGAAATGCAAAAGTAATTAAGCTTTGCCTTAAGTTGTAAAAAATCCCTTTTATAAACTTTTAATAATAAAAAACGGTTCTACACAGAGTATGTTAAATGTCCTAGTTTGCTCACTGTATCGGTAGAGAGAGCATTAAAAAATGGCTTGAACTATTTTTATTTTTATCAAAATTTGAGACAGGATAAGAAGTCCTCTGTGAGCAGATAAATAATTTTAAAGTGCTTATATTCACAGCATTACGGCTACAAATAGCAATAAAACTTAAATATAACTTGAAACTTTATTAACATGTAGATTTAAAATCTAATAAAGGGGAACTGGATGGGAAAGTGTTGCATCTCGTAATCTGATCCAACCTCTTCCCATCCTCCTGTCTTCATCCACGTCCCTATCAGTGTTTACTTCTCTTCATTCTTGATTTTCCCTGTTTTGTTGCAACTGTTGCATAATGCCATTAGATATGTATAGAGGAGGCCAGTTTTGTCAATGGAATAGAAAGTGTAGATATTTGTGTTTAAATGTAGTGAATCAAAGTAAAATTAATGTTTGTTTTCAAAACAAAAACAAGGCTTTGTTGTGCTGCTGTATAAAACCTGGAACTCAACACTATTCCTGACATTCTGAGTTGAAAAAGCTTCCTGGATGGGAAGCGAAATGTCTTCAAACTTGGAAACAAAGTCCAGCAGATTGTTAATTTTCTTTTTTTGCAATGACAATGACCAGGATGACTGAGAATCTTTACCAGCACGTAAAATTAATGAAAAAAAAATACATTAAGTGTAGATAGAAAAAAAAATCCTATTTCAGTACGTCGATAAAGTATTGAAACTGAATTACTTGACAGTTCTGCTGGAAAGACAGAATCTTGATGGGGTTCTGTAACTCAGAGTTGAACATAACCCCACTGGATTACTTCGTCCAGGTGAAGGATGAGTCTGTCAGTAAGTTTATACGGAGTGTTAGTTCCTTGTCTGCTGAGGCTTTAACACAAAATAACAGCATGAAGATGTGATGAAAACACCTACGGGGGTGCACGCTATTCTTGTCATCCTCTATTAGGAAATGTCAGGTCAAGGAAGGTCAGAGTAGGAGTGTTCTGATTTATCACCATGTTTATCAGACGCAGACAAGGAGAAATCTGTCAGAGCATCCAGCATCTCCTCATCTGGTGTCCGTCATCCAATCAATGACATCGAGGTCTAGGTTTAATCAAAAAGGGATTGTTCGCTGTCATTCCGCCTGCTGCCATAAGAGTGCAGGCAGGATTAATTTCAAGAAACAGTCTATTCATTTCTACCCAGTGTTGCCATGACAACATTTGGCACAGCTTTCTTTTTAAATTCATCGAAAAGAATTCCAGACAGCAACATCCTCACAGTTGAAATCCATTGAAACTGTTAAGGTTTGTGGCTCCGGCCCCCGGTTACTTGGGTGAGTTATTACAACCGTTGTCTCTCACCAAAAAAAGAGTTGGGCGTCTGAAACCCAACCTGGAGGTCTTTGCATGTGTGGATTCTAGGGATCTAAGCAAATAATTGATTTCCGATTAATTGTTGACTTCTTCTTTCTTTAATTAAAATGAGTTTTATTCGTACGCATACTCTTCATCTGATCCTTTAAACATGCAGTTTCCAGGGGGGGGGATCTGCTGGCCATGAGTCGCAGGTGCAGCTGTTTCAGTAGACTCCCAGACCTCCCTCTCCACAGACACCTGCTCCAGCTCTACTTGGAGAAGCCCAAGGTTCTTCCTGGCCAGCCGGGAGACCCTACAGCATGTCCTGGGTTTTGCCCTGGGTCTCCTCCTGCAGAGACGTGTCAGGAACACCTCCTGCACTGAAAAAACTAATGCAACCATTTTTGGCATTAACTTCCTCATATTTAGTTACTTTAACAGAATTGTTTCATGTTAGCAGGGTAGGACATAAAACAATTGTGTTAAAGTAACTCAATATGATTAAGTAAATACCAAAAGTGATTGCATTATGGCATCAAAGTTCCATCTGAAAAAAATGTCCAAGCCACCTCAGCTGACTCCTCTTGACCCCGAGCCTTTCCCTCACTGGTGAACAGGACCCCAAGATATTTAATCAATTTGATTAATTGATAACATCAAAAGAGGTAATGTTAGCGTTGTAATGTTACAGCGGGTCACTAGAGGGCATCGCTGTTCATTCTTAATCAAAGCCTCACCAGTATTTGCAAAAAGAATTGGGAGCAGAAACACGAATGAATCCAGAAACCAGTCCAGGATTATTTACACTGTTTAATGAAGACAAGCATGCACAATGCATCTTATGGGGTTCAATCAATAAATATAAATACTCGATAAACTTAATTTATCACCTAACTAGCCGCCATTTAAGAGTGCTGCATGGCAGACTTCTGTACCGTGTTCGAAAGGTGAGGCTATAATGTTAGAAAAGAGGAGGACATAAAGCAAAATGTTTGAGTTAATGCTTGTTATTGGACCACATTGTAAAGTTAGCTGGGAGCGACCAGAACCTCTTGTTTAAAACGTTGCTAACAGTACAAAGTTATTCCCGGCACTAAATGCTGGAGAACACTAAAAAACAGATCTATATCACAGTTAGCATCTTCTTCATTGATATTCATCTTTTTTTATTCAGTAACCTAAAAGGTTCCTGTTTTGTCAAATCTTTATAAATAAGTTTTGTATATGTTGTTTATTCAGTCAGTGTTTAATACAGCTGGCACAATAAATGGTTGAAGTGTAATGATGCTGGAAGTGACTGCAGCGTTTTCATGAACCTGATATAAAGCCAGTTGTTCATTTGTTGGACAGTTTGTTGAAACTATATTCATCACATTGTTCTCCTTCCTCCAGGGTTTGAGTTCTCAGAGCTCTGGGTTTATTCACAGATCCGCAGCAGAGGCGCAGTAAACGGTTTCTCTGAGTCTTCTCTCTGTTTCTGCATCAGCACCATGTCTGACGGAGCTGCCGTGCTAATATGTCTGTGATGGTTTTGTTTCCTCCTCCCCAAGCCCCCTCCCAAGCCATCACCCCAACTTATACAGCACACCCCCCATCCGTACAGCGAACCCCCAACAATAATCTGTTGCAACCTCCAGCAAACACACCTGTCTTCTGATTTTACGTTTTGTCAGTTCTTCATTTTTTATCTCCAAAAGATCCTGTTTGGTTCCATTTTGGGTTCACATTCAGTTTTATTCTTGATTTTATTTTTTTTTAACATGTCTTTTATTTAACCCTCTAACCCTTCTCCATCCAACCCCCCTCCCCGCCCCCACCCTCCTGACCCCTGTCCTCCCTCAACCCTCCGTCCCCCTCCCTGTCCTCCTCCACCTCCTTCCTCCAGTTTAGAGACCGCCAAATCCACCGCCCAGTCCTCCTCCATGTCGTCTCCTGTTGACCTGACCATGAGCTTCACCCAGCCCGCCCCCCCTGCCTCTGCCTCGTCCTCCTCCTCCTCCCCCCTGGCAGCGATGGGTGCGGCACTGCCCCACGCTCCAATCCTGGGCGCTCCCTACGCCCTTCCCCTCTCCAGCCTCCTGGGAGTGAAATCCATCCCCTACCTGGCACTGTCCACCCCTCCCGCCTCAGCAGCAGCGGCGGCGGCAGCAGCGGCCGCCATCGGGGCACCGGTGTTACAGAGCTCGGTGCAGCAAGCGGCCACAGCGGCAGTTCCTGTCTCAGCTCACGCGGCGGCTGCACTAGCATCCTACACGGCTAAGATCTCTTCAGCCAATGGGATGAAGAAGCCAGAGAGACAGAAGTTTTCTCCATACTGATGAAGGAGGAGATGCGTGTCAGAGGTAGCTCCTGGGCTGCTCTTCAAACTGAAAGGGCCTTTCCCCTCCACAACTCTGAACTCTGTCACATCCTTTTTCCATCTCTCTCTCCCATCTCTTTTCTATCCTTCCTGGTCAGTAGCAAATATCACTGTGGGATTATTGGAACATGCATGATTTCACTATAATGCAGATTATAGGAACCAAGAAAGTGCAAAAATGTGCAGCAGTTGTAGAATTATGTGAAAAAAGAAGCAAGATTAAGATTTGGGTGATTTTTGGAGATCGGAAACAACAGCCTGTTGTGAGGTCTGATGCATATGGGGTTCCTGACTGTTTTTATTTCTAATTTTAGCTTTTAGCATAAAAAAAAACAAAACATCTTGATCAAAAGTGTTAAAAATATCAACCTACACTGATGATACGAAGGATCCTTTAAAACCTGACAATCGTCATGTAGCTGCAGTGGTTACATCTCAGGGTCACTGATTCTGGACCCCCCCCCCCCCCCCCCCCCCCCATTGTATATGATGTCACCCTGATGGAAACCAATAATAAAGAAAACACATTCCTTCATATTCAGACAAACCTGTGGATGCTTGTTATGCTTTGTTTTTGCACACAGTATCCAGGCGAACATTGGAACAGAACCTGATCCATGTTCTGCTCTTTACTGTTAACTAAATCCAGTTTAAAGACTTTTGGTTCAGTTCAATTCAACAAGGCTGCTTAATGGTCTGACAGCTGTCTGCTCTGTTGAGGTTCTGATTTCCTGCTGGGTCGATGTTCTCTTTGTTTGAATTTTTGATTATCCCACAGTCCAAAAAAATATGAGCAGGTTAAATAAAGATTGTAATTGTCTTGCTGAGGTCTTGGTGTGTGCATAAACTGGTTTCTGTTTTCCATTTTTCAGACCAGTTTGAGGTTAATTGTTTTAAAGTTTCTGTTGGGTAAAAGGCTCTGACATCTGGAACAGAAAATAGATATATTTCATCCAAAAACAGCAGACTGATGCGGGCCTGACAACAGAGACCTAATTAGACTCAATCCACTCTTCTTCAGTAGCCATATTGAAACTGAAGATTGGAGAAAAATACAAACTCATCTGGTGGATTTTTATATCAGTAGGTATTAAAATGATAAGTAAACTAGGACTTGATCTTCTGCTCCTTCAGGGAAATCAAATATGATGTTAAATTATAATTTTTTTTCTACTGACCAGAAGCATCCATTGGTTTGTCTGGGATGTCAGAATCTGCATCTTTTTATTTTCCAACAATCCCACAACTTCAGTTTCTCCAGTGTTGCTCCTTTCTGTGTCCCTGTTTGTTTCAGCAGCTCAGAGAGCGTCCGGAGTTTGCAGCCTGTAAAAGCCATAAAGACTTTTCAGCTTTTCTTCTTCTTCTTCTTCTCCGTGTACTGCTCTTTATCCCACTGTATACTCGTATATTTATTATTAACTGTTATGAAATATTCTCTCGGAGTTTCTATCACTGATCACTAACACTGAGCTGACTTTGTATACGTTGTAAATGTCCTTCCTGCTTCGTGTCACGTTGGGTTTTTGTTGTAAAGATTTTTTAAGTTCTTTTTCTTTATCTGCCTGTTTCAGGTTTATTTAAGTTATTTTTTAACTTATTAAGAGAAGTATTACAGTTACGGGTTTAGATGAAATTCTGTTCCAATATGACTGTAAATCTGTGTTATGTTTTTAAGTGTGAAACAATTGCCGTTTTCACTGTAGCATTGGATATTGTATAAATGGTTTAGCGTTTTCACTCATGGGCTCAGACTGGACTGCAGAACTGAACATGAACACCAACTGTGGATTTTTTTTAGGATCCTCTCCTCTCATTGTGGACCATCAGCCGACTCAGAACTAGAACAAGTAGAAGCACAATCAAAGCCTGAAGCAAACTGATAATCTTTCTAAAATCAAAGGTAAAAGAGTTCAGGTCCAAAATGTTTAACAGTAAATAGATTTTTTACTTCCAGGTTGGGAGAAAGATGCATAAAATCTGGATCATGCTTTGGTTGCACATTTGTTAACGTGCACGATCCATGTACAGAAGCCTTAGTCCTGATGCGGCCGACCCGGGCTGGACTCCAGCCTGTGGTCCGCATGTCTCCCTCCCTGTGTTGTACCCCCTTTCTTGTCAGCCTACTGTCCAATAACGAGCCACTAGTGATAAAACCCTTAAAAAAAAAAAAAAAATCTGGATCAACACCAGCACAACAGGTCCAGTTCTGTCAGAGGTGGACAGCTGCAGGTTTTACCAAAAAAATTACAGCTTTACAATCCAATAAAAAAGTCAAACATTCCTCAGCTTTCTCATTTGGAGTGCAGTAAAAGTGAAAATAAAGCTATAATTGATCTTATTTTCCGTTGTACTAACCCCATTAAAATGGCAACCTCTTCAACATAAAGCCAGACTTAGGAGTTCTGTTTAACATCCTAGCTTCTCAAATCTTTATGTAACTAGCTCACCTAGAACTAGTTCGACTAGTTACTGATCTGCAGGTGGTGAATTGTGATCCTTAACCTGCATTTTAGGATTTTAAATCAATCAATAATTTCCTGCAAAAGTGCCAAACACTTAACAGAAACAAAAAGCATGTTTTAAAAATGTTAATCAGCGTGGTATTAAAGACTAGATAAACCAAAAACAGCAGCCTTGGGGAAACTTTTCTTTTTAATGTGCTTGTTGATTTGTATGTTAGATCCCGAAGGAGAGTGAATGCAAACAATTATCAATAAAATAAAACATCTTAATATTATTCCTTATCTTCTGTTGAGAGGCTGTTTTACCCCAGAGGTGATCACACAGGGATAACAGCTGCCTTTAAAGCAGGCATCCCCAAAGTCGGTCCTTGAGGGGACGCTTCCCTACAGGTTTTAGAGGTTTCCCTGCTCCAGCACAGCTGATTTTAATTGAAAGCGTATTAACAGGCTTTTCTTCAAATGCACTGATCATTATCAGCTGTGCTAAAGCAGGGTGAAAGCGTATTAACAGGCTTTTCTTCAAATGCACTGATCATTATCAGCTGTGCTAAAGCAGGGGAACGTCTAAAACCTGCAGGGCAGCAGCCCTCCAGGACCGGCATTGGGGATGCCTGCTTTAAAGGGATGACTTTTAAACTAAACTTAAACTCTCTTTATTCTAATTAATGCAGCTAAATAGGTACATTAGTTATGAACAAAGACTACAAAATCATAAATTATAAGGTCTTGTTGAACCCCTACAAGGGCTGCACTCTTCCTCACATGACATAAGTAGAAATGTGTGTTACCGCATGGGTTTTATATGATGGGTTATGTAATAGTCAGCATCCTAAGTGTGGCTGCAGCTTTCTAATCACACTAGTTACAGGCTGTTCCATTATCAAGCCCAATCCGAGGAAGTATAACTGTCTCATACATTGTTTCTCTATAAGCTGCCAGCAGCCACAACATTTGAGGGAGATTGAAACCTCAAATGATTGAAGCAGAACTTTTTAGAATTATGGTTTGATTATGGATCTATAAAGATAATAAAAATTCCATTCAACAAACCTTTAACACGTCCTCATGTTTTCTTAGGCATGATGAGAAGGCAGTCTACTTATTCTAGTTCTGTGGCAGAGTTCCTTTTTTATTGGTAAAAATCTTGATTTTCCAGTAATTTGTTAATTTTTCCGTCTGAACCAAGGAACGGTTCTTTTTCGGATCCTCGCTGTTACTACATGTCTGCTTGGCCTCACTAACACACTCAGAGAAACACACACACATGCAAATACACACATAGACACCAAAACTTCTCACTGGCACAACACACACGTACACACGTCTCACACATGCAGAACCACTAAGGCTGCAGCCTCTGGGGAGCAAAGCAATACTGAACAGAACCCACTGAGCAGCTACAGCAGCAGATACACACATTTAAGTGGAACTGTTTCTGTTTATATTAATATTTAATGATGATGGTGTGGTCTATTTAACAAGCTCACTTATTTTTATAAAGTCACATCACCTTGTTGATGAGCAGTTCCTTGTTTCTCTCTTCACTCTTTTCTCTGTTTCATGATTTTCTGTCTTTCCTTCATTCGTCTGCATGAGTCTGACTTGAATTGATGTCTATGCAAAAACTTATCTGAGGTCCAGTTCACAGGAATGCCGCCTGCAGCGGCTCGGACTCACAACACATCCACCCTGAAGAGGAGACATGAACTGTGTTCTGCAGGAACCAAGGCTCACTTTAATATTTCACAAAAAGCCTCTATCAGCTGAGAAATTGTTGCTTCACGCAGCAGCGAACACAAACCAAACTCGCTGGATCCTGTCCTTCACTTTGCTTCAGCTCCAAAGGAAGTTGATTTTGGAAGTTTATTTTGATTCAGAGAGGAAGTGGATCTCTGCAGGGTGAAGGTGTTGCCTGAGTCGCATCTTCACAGAGGATGTGAAATAGTTTCATGCTCTCTCTGTGAAGCTGCCCTCTCTCTGCACACATCTGAACGGCAGCCGCAGCTGCCAAACTAAATGAGGACAGTTATGAATATTGCACTTGAACATGAAAACTCCATTAGGACTAGAGGTTCTCTGAGTAAGAAATACCGGTTCATTTCTGTTTCCCTGTCAGGACCGGGAGCTCTACTGTGTCTCTGGATCAGCCTGATATGTTGGTGGTTCTGCTCTCTTCCATTCATGCCATGTTTCAATAAACGAGCACCGAAACAAGCCGAGTCTAGTCGTCTGTTCTGTTCAAAGTGTTCAACGAACATCTTCACTGCTGAGGATCGGCTAAATGACCTGATATTTGCAAGCTCCCAAAAAAACTTGGATTCATCCCTGATGAGGTGTGGTCTGTCACCATGGTAACCAGAGACAAAGCTAGAGGTTCTTGCTTCCCGGAGAATGATTGAAAGCAGTGAAAGAGCAAACATGACTCCTTCAAACATGAAAGACTGTAAGTGGGTTTTATTTTTAGTGTGCACATAGCCGTTGTTCATAGACTATTTCCACTTAGTTAATCTTAATTTTTTACGGTACCATCTAGTGGACAAGTCATGTCGGTATGTTTGTAAACATTTCAATTTTAAGAGAGCTTTCTTTCATAATGACAATTTATAATAATAATAACTGAACTTTATTGATCTCACATTGGATAACTTCACCTCTGCATTTAACCCATCCCCTCGGGGAGCAGTGGGCTGCCATTGTGCGGCACCCGGGGAGCAATTGGGGGTTAAGAGTTTTGCTCAGGAATCCGCAGTGGAATTCGAACTGGGTAGTTGTAACCTTCTCAGAGCACAAGCTTTTTACAGTGTCCTGTCTGACAAAGTGGCAATAACAATAATTGCCAAAAAGAGCCCAACAGATTTTACTTTCACAAGTGGAGCATATAAATTTCTTTATTATAATTATGCACTGAGTTTTACAGATTATATGGACACTGCAATGTAAGTAGAACAGAAGAGGAAAAACAGGAAAAAAAAAGGAGAAAAGATTGGGGGGGGGGATTAAATTAAAAGAAAATATTCAGTGAGTTAAAAAAAATAACTCACTGAATATATGTAAAGTAGGTTTAAAAGGTAAAATTGTCACAAAATAATACTCCATTATGAAACAAACAAATTATGTAATTAATACAGCTTTGAATATCTTGATGGATAATAATAAATCAATACATAAAAATTATTTTACCATATTTATCTTCTTTTATTTCACAGGGATTTTTATTTATTTAATATTTAATGAAATGGCTCTCCACAGCCATTATGTAGCAGTTCTTGTCGCAAAGAAACAGCGTCTCAATACTGATTATTTCCATTTGGCTCCATTCATAACAACATCTCAGCTTCACTGACTGTGAAGTGATTAACAAGTGATGCTGATCTGACCCGGTATGAGATTAAAACATTTGATTCTGTAATATTTAGCAACAAATGATAAAAAGAAGTCAATGAAACAAAAAGCATCACATTAGAACCACATTTAGCTCCAAAGACTGAGTTGTTGTTGCAGCAGGTCTGGAGGAAGAGGAGAACTTTGTGGAGGTCAGCTGATTATTCCTGAACGAACACGTTATGCTCTGATGAGAGAAAAATAAAACCTGTTCATTAGTGAGATTTATAAGCAGCTAAAGGTTGAATTCAGGACTTTGGAATGAAACACACCATCTATGGGGTGAAGCAGCAGGTTGAACCGGTTTTAGCTCCGCCCTTTTACCTGCCACACCTGAACTAAAGCAGGAAGCAGTTTGTGATTGTTGGTTCCTGCAGAGAGACTCCCAGACGATCAGATTCACCTTCAGACCAAACTAGCAGCTTCCTCTGAGTGAGTCCAGCTGCAGGAGAGAAAAGTGGAAACCTCCAACACTGCTGCTTCAAGCTGCTCACACTCCACACACTGAAGGTGAGTTGGACCAAGAACACCACTCAGAGTCACTTTGAGGGAAGTTAGTAGAGGAGGGAGGGGAGCCATGACTGACTGGACCTTCTGTGTTTTCAGCTTCACTCAGAGACTAAATGGCTTCCAGGTTAGAGGAGGATCTCTGCTGTCCGGTCTGTCAGGACGTCTTTAAGGATCCAGTTGTTCTGTCATGTAGCCACAGCTTCTGTAAGGAGTGTCTGAAGGACTGCTGGAGAAAGAAACCAGTAAGAGAGTGTCCAGTTTGTAAGAGGAGATCTTCAAGGGATGACCCACCATTAAATCTGATTC